TTTTTTCATTTTGCTTCATTCTAAATCTAATTGCAATTGAGTTGAAATTGCATTGCAGCTTGATTTTCCTGTAATCTGATACATGCCATCCTACACTCTTCAGCTCGAAGGGYGTCTTTCTAAAAGTGTAACAATATCAAAGAATTTATGAAATAAGAACTTTTTTYTCCTATGCAAGAGTGCTTTGACAGGTAGTGAACAAAAAATTATGAAACACAATAGCTTTTGAAAGGCTTTCTGTTGCATGATATATTTTGRGATTTATTTTCATCTCAAATCACAAAACAAATCTCAAAAGGTTTTGTAAATTGGCAATTCCTCTTTTGATTTTGCTCATGGACTTCTCAGTGTTTTTCACAGGTGCACTTGACATTGACAACAGGAAGATAAAAGATGTAAGAGAGAAAACACTTCAGCTTAATTTAGCAGTTCTCTAAAAATAGAGATATCTCTATTCTKACTCTTCGATAGCAAAGAAATAACAGCTTGTGGTTTTTTACTGCTTGATTTTCAGTACACCCTTTAATGTTTTATTTATCACGTTTTGTCAATTGAAGGGAAGGAAATCACTATTCCTGTAAAAAAGAAAAAACAAAAACCAGCCATCAACCTACCTTATAGCTACAGCTTGGATGAAAACCTGATGCCACTGAATTTCCAAATGAGTTTTCAGTGCAGCATGCCATGAGCCAGTGAGTACAAAGAGTAGAAAAAAAATCCTCGATGGATTTAGTGAATATTATTCCAGAGGCTGTAGGTGCTTAGTACTTAATATGAGACTAATATACATCCATCCACTAAATGTTTCRGAAACAGGGCAAGCAGAAAAACTTCACATTCCTCCGTCTTTGTCAGAAGCTTGAGGACTGATGTAAATGTCAGTAAGACTGGATCACATCACTGGAAAAATCCTTATTGAGTTTTTGTTTCACTCTATCTGTATATCCATTGGCCTGTTGTATTTTAAATACCCGTCTCCCAAAAATAAAGCAAAACCATATATTTCTAACAGGGAAATTTATGTAACAGAACTATATCTTTACAGATTATGCTTATGAAACCATAGCTTAGGGTGGATGTTTCAAAATCCATGCAAGCTTCACTGATTCAGATTGGAAACCTGAAATCGAAAGGAAACAGCTCATAAAATGTAAGAGGACTTTTAAACCTCTACAGAGAGATTCTTCTCTCTCTTGTGTTACATTTTCAAATTAAATCACAAGARACTGAGATTGTGAGTGCAATGAGGGAAGGACATAAAGTTACCCTGAACAAGATGAAAATGTAAACACAACGTTAACTAAACCCCAACAATTGAAATTGTGGTTCCAGCAGCTTAACCTCTTCTCATGGTTTCACCTCAGCCAGCAGCCAAGACCCACACAGTTTCTTGCTCATCCCCTCACTAGGCAGGATTGGGGAGAGAYTTGAAAGGCTAAAAGGAAGATAACTTGTGGGTTGAGACAAAGACAGTTCAATAGGGAAAGCAGAAGCTATGCACACAAGCAAAGCAAAACAAAGAATTAATTTGCTGTTTCCCATTGGCAGGCAGGTATTCAGCCATCTCTGGTAAAGCAGGTGCCCATCCCATGAAAGGTTATGTGGGAAGACRATCATCACTCCAAATGGTCCCCCCTTCCTCCTTCTTCCCTCTCTTTTATATCTTGKTAATGATGCTGTACAGTATGRAATATCCCTTTGRTGAGTTGGGGTCACCTCTCTGTGTTTCCTCCCAGCCTCTCATGTACCCCCAACTTCCTTGTCAGCATGGCACTGCAGAAAGCCCTGCTCAGTGATAACAAAAATATCTCTATATTGCCAACTCTGTGTTCAGCACAAATCYAAAACATACCAGCCACTCTGAAGAAAATTAAACCCATCCCAGCCAAATCCTACATACCTGGGTGTTTACAAAGCAAATCATCAAGTAAGGGTGAATTAGAGCAGGAATTTCTTCTAGTCCAGGCTTTCCTGACAAGGTTCAGTATTAGAACCTGAGAGAATCTGGCAAGGAAAGATGAAATTTGGAGCAGGATTTTCTACACTCCATATTTCCCAAAGAGGTTATTTGCCTTCAAGAATAACATGCCACARAATCTTGTGTGTTTGCATGCCCCCTTCTCCCCTGCAGAAAACTCTGAAGGAACCACCACATTATCCCCCTTCTGCTCCTTGTGATGGACATCTTTATTACTGAAAACCATGCCAAGGAGACCAACCCTTTTTGGAGAGCTCTTGCAGACACATAACCACAAAGTCTGATGTCTTTCAACTCCAATTCAAGAGGTGCCTACATTTGGAGGCATTCATGTTTTACTGGCAGTAACATTCCACGAGTGCATAAAATTTGCCTTTAGATAGACCATGAATGCTGACACTGTTTTGTGTTCATCAGCATCTATTGGTCACATTTTATCTCATTCTTATCAAGATGTACTCTCAGAAAAAGCAAGTATGGAAGAAAATATGTTTGAGATTAACACAAACCAAAATTTGAGACTTGTTAGATAGCTTTATGACCAGTGTGACAGATTTAATGGAAATTTTCACCTATATTCATACCTCCCCAAGTACCTGTAATTTCTATAGGAATAGTATCTATGGGCCTGTGATAGCCAAGATCTTTCACTTGCAAAGGTATAGTATTAAAGCACTGTGGATACTCCTATACAGACGATTTTCTCTTTGTTTCAAGAAGTAGAGGGTTGTTAGATACAAAGAGTGCTACTTGAGAAGAATTTTGGATTCAATAGACTTCATGAATAAGTATTTGCTGTGGTAAGTCCCAGACAGATGAGTTGAAACAGAGAGCATTAAGGYCTTTTTTCCAAGAGTCATGTCACAGAGAGTGCTTTTTCAAGTCATGCTGAAAAATGAAGAATTAGTTTAATTCTTGACATAGCTCCCCTGACAAGAATTGAATTTCATTTGCAATGGATTTGGCTCAAAGAGCTTTTAGCAGTTGTGCCCATCTGATGATCACTTCACTACTTGAAACATGCTTGCTCTGTGCCATGTGKGTGATATACGTATATCTCTGACTTCTTTGCAATTCCTATTTYCTTGCTCCTTTTTCTAGGCTTCCAACAACTCAGCTGGAAGCAACATTAATCAATATCACTCGCTTCACACTGACTCTCACCACTTCTGTATATTTTCAGCTGACATTGAAGCTCTATGTCAAATAGATCAAGAAAGAACCTCAGTAAGCCCCCACTGAGCTGCTTGCTGCTGTAGCTGTACCTTGTTCTGGATCTGCACTCAGGTTTTTCTGATTACTGCACTGCAGTCTCCAGTAGAAACTTCCCATTTGCCAGTTCCCAGGAATCATCAATAGTTCTGCTGTGAAAAGCAAGTTTTTCAGTGAGAACTTCTCTCAGAAAGCAGTTTGTGACAGAATAGCTATTTCAGCAACAGAATTTCCCAGTACCTGGACTGAGCTCTTTGGGGGTCTGAGAAGTTACACTGCTCATGGCCTATGACCACACCAATTAAAAGTCTTTTTTAACCAGATATGARGTTTAAGTGACACCAACTGGCACCTATGCTTTTGTAATCTAAGCTCCTACAGCAGGCCTGTCTTGCAACAAGATGCTTGGAATGGACGGTGCAGGTGATGAAAGTTCACAAGCAGAAGTGTGCCTGAACTCACTCTGCCTGTTACTAAACAGCAAAGATGTGCTCAGTTATCAGCTGACTTGGCCTGGCACCACTTCAGGTCTTATTTCACTCTTCACAGAACCTACTGTAGATCTATCCTCTGCCTTTCTGGACATTCCTTGCCATTTCTTCACTTTTTCAACCCTGTACTTTTGTGAAATTGCTTCCCTGTACTTAACGAAAGCAGGCACACATGTAGCACATTGAGGTGTGGGTTCTTGCCTGCAGCTGCTGAATGCTACTACGCTGATTAAAATAAACAGGCTAAACCATGAGCTATTGCATCTGCCCAGAAAGATCTGTGCAAGCCAGACAGTGAAAGCATGGCTCTGCTCTGCAGACTGCAAAACTGAAACTAATTTTGCAGAATTACAGATGATGCAAACAAGACAGCTGCAACCAGAACATTTTTAAATAACTTAACGTTTTGCAGAAACTGAAGCTTAGTTTTTTTCTTGGTAGGAGAGGGCTTCTCCAGCTTGTAAAATAGTCCAAGCAACTGCAATCTGTCCGTGGTTCTCAAGATTTTTGCTTATATTCTGTTTTATATTACAAACATAGCAAGAGCAATTGAATGCATGTTCTCCTTTCTCTAAGTTGAAAATAAATGAAAAAAAGTTAAATTCCAGCCMTTACTTGAAATGGATCTCTATTTAGTTGGGCAAAAAAAATAATCAGAAGATTTCATGCGCTACAGAAATCAAGGTCATGACATCAAGAACAGAATCGATGGATTTAGCTCATGGAGAATRCATGGACTAGAAATTTAATTTCAACTTGTGATATGTGATTTTCTTTATCTTACAGTAACATGGGAGATGTGATAACAAATACACTGCAGAGCAATTTGGATGGGAGGGATTGATGGTCCGTCAATGGTGTAAGACTCAACAAGGCAAAATGCTGAGTCCTGCACTTGAGTCACRAGAACCCCATGCAGCTCTACAAGCTGGGAGTAGWGTGGCATGGAAAAGAACCCAGGAATGCTGGTTTAACAGCAATTAGTGCTTTGGTTTAATTGACATGGTGATGTTTGGTCAAATGTTGGACTCCATGATCTCAGAGGTCTTTTCCAGCCTTAAAGATTCTATGACTAAGTATCAGAAAGCCATTTAGCAGAGGAAAATGAGCTGTTCCAAGACAGGAAGACATAAGAGTGGTAAAACATCATGATGATTTGAAGGGAGGCAAGAATTTACAGAAAGTAATTTTAATGRATTCAGTGTATTCAGAGTAAATCTGCCAAACTAAAGAATTTTTGTTATTTGATTAATAGAGGACTTGTGTTCTTAATTTCTGTTWTGACATACTGCTTTTCTCACTTGACATTTCTCTTCTAGGTTTTCAAGCCAAGTGTTCATTATATGATCCAGCTGGCTTACAGGGATCAACAACCCACTTGTGAATAATGGTCMAAAACGAATCCCACCTGGATGCTTYGACGCTGGCAATGCTCCAGAATGAAAATGTCTCCATCACCCTCACAATTGTATATTCAGTGGTGGCTTTCATCAGCATCCCTGGCAACTTTTTCTCCCTTTTTGTGCTCTGTGTGCACATCAAACCCAAAACGCCCTCTGTTATCTTCATGATCAACTTAAGCATCACGGACCTTATGCTGGCCTGCTGTTTTCCCTTCCAGATTTCTTATCACATCCAAAGAAATCACTGGAYATTTAGCAAGACCCTTTGCAGCCTTGTGACAGTGATGTTCTACTCCAACATGTATTCTTCCATACTGACCATGACCTTAATCAGCATGGAGCGGTACATGGGTGTGGTACACCCCTTGAAGTTGATGAAGTGGAGAAGAAAAAGATATGCCTTGGCTGCCTGCCTAACTATGTGGATTTCCTTGCTACTAGCCTTCTACCCACTAGAAACTACAGATCTGACCTATGAAGTGAAAGAATTAGAGATTATAACCTGCTTTGATGTCCTAAAATGGGATATGCTGCCCAGCTTTGCAGCTTGGGTAGCCTTTCTCCTCACATTATTCGTTCTGCTCTTCCTGATCCCTTTTGTTGTTACGGTGGGATGCTACATTGGTATCATTAGGAAGCTCATTCAGACATCAAACAGATATGGCAATAGGCAGAAGACTAGAGCCATATACCTGGCGACATTCGTCCTTCTGTCCTTCRTCACTTGCTTCGCCCCCAATAACTTTATCCTACTTGCACACATGATCATCCGCCTATTCTACAACCGCAGTTTGTACCATGCCTACAAGCTCTCCTTGTGCCTCAGTTGCTTCAACAACTGCATAGATCCCTTCATCTATTATTTTGCATCAAAAGAATTTTATCAGAAATGCATGCAATTAATTCACCCTAGGGCACTGCTCAGCGACAGCTTGGAAAACAGAAGGGGAAGTTTATTCTCTGGCAGGACTATGTCAGCCAGATCAATGTCAAGTGGACCTATGGATGGGTTAGAGGGAGTAAACGTCAATTTGCAAAGGCAGGAAAGTGTTTTTTAGCTTTAGATGTTCCCAGAAGAAAGACACCAGTGAAACTTATGAGTAGACACAGAAAATATTTCCTTTTGAATGGACACGTTCAAAATATCTTGCTCCAGTGACAGAACTCAAGCCATGCTTACATCGCACTTCAGCATTTTCTGGTTAGAAATGGAGGTGCTACAGGAACTGAGTTCAAGAAGGCACAGAAGCAAACCCAGCAGGGTTAGCCTGGAAATAGCCTTGCTGCATAAGACTGAGAGATAGGTGTAGAACAGAAGTTACTCTCAGGTTGTATGGTTGTATTTAACCGAAGACTTAGTGAATGTGAAATGTTATTGTACACGAATTAAAGAATATACTGAAGCTGGCTTGGGAGTAAGGGAGTTGATCTCCTAAGCGATGTGCTAAGCTTTGTTGTTGTTGTTGTTTTTTATTATATTTCTTGTTTTTTATCATATTTCTTTCTCTCCTGTTGTATTTCTACAAAAGAATGAATAAAAATAGCATGGCATTTTACCAGTCATGCATAATGCACAACCATGGTGAAGTCACCAACACTCATCCAACTGCTTATCAGAGTCAAACCACACTGACACTTGAAAAGTTTAGGTTGACTCATTTTTATTTCAATTTTATACAGCAAAACATCTCATACAATGAAAGGCAAGCTAAATGAACACTTGCAAATACTTCAGCATTTCTTGAAGTTATTAATTTCTCAGGACTATGGGGAGTAGTTTTTTAAGGAAACAGACTTTCCCACATTTACCTATTATAGTACCAATGCTGCTTGTCTGTGGTTAGTATCAACAAGTCATTTTTATTAATTCACTCTAGGCTACACATAGAAGAACCATCCCCCTCAGCAGAGAATTTAGCTTTACATAGTGCCTGGGGAGTGAGTTTTTCTTCCTTACAGAGATGGTATGGATACAAATAAGATTTTCATTTGGATAAATGAAAATTCAACCACGGACTGGAGAGTGATTCTGTGCCAGCTGAAACCAGCTGAAAATTTTTTCCTATGGCCAGATGTCAGAAACGGACTYCTTGCAGGGAGGCAAACAGAAAGAAGAGAAAAAGGAAAATAACACTTGAGAATGGGAACTGTACCAAACACCYTGAAAATAATATGGCAGATGGATCATACAGTCCTGTGTTTGGAACCTTTCTCTGAAATCTCCTTCTACAACTTGTTTCCATATACCATGCCATGTTTAATTCTTATCACAACTCAACAACTGCCTGTGTGCTTGGAAAGACAGAACATGCACTGGGGACAGAAATAAGCTAAGTGGTTCCTGTAGCAGTCACAGCTTTTTAGCAACGTTTCATCCTCATTGACAGAAGAGAGCCACAAACCACCTGAGAACACCAGACAAGTTCCTCTCACAAGGAATATCTTTTGCTGCACTGCAACTCTATCCAGCACTGAGGGGGAAGCTGTCTGCAGCATTGTGGATGGTTGATTCAGACATCCCATGATGCACTGACTCCTGAGCTCTTGTGCCTAAGTAACAGGCAACACCCAAGGCCCTTAAAATCTGCCATTTTTCTTTGGATATCTCATAATTAAAAAACAATTTTCTACCACAAATCATCATGAATTTCTTCACAATAGAGGATGAAAACCACAAAATGCACTGTGAGATATTTGAATGTCCTATCTTCTGCTAAAACATTGTCAGTTTCTGGAGCAGAATAAATGTGAGTGGACCAAGCATTAACGTTCACAAGCCAATCTGAACATTCAATGCTTTGTGGCATTTCACAGTGTTAATTTTAATTGATCTGCATATTTTCTGTGTACAAGGCCAACCTCAGTGATATGTAAGCCATCAATTTGCCTGGAAGCTACCCTCCACTATTTACTGTCATATGATTACAGGTTTCTCATAATCACAATTGTTTAATTGTTTTCTGCATTTTGTTGTGGAATAATTTTTTTTTGTTTTCTGCATTTTGTTGTGGAATAATTTTTTTTTGGAAGTTTATACTGAGATCTATCTCATTTTTCTTTCTTTTTTTTTTTTTTTNGATCTATCTCATTTTTCTTTCTTTTTTTTTTTAACGTGGAAATATTTTTACAATGAACGCTTTTAATTCTCCTACTGCTACTGCACACTTTCACTCTGTTTTATTTTGAGCATGGTCCTCAAGTACATAGACCTTTCTTGTACATAGACCTTTACGATATGCTGCAAAGTACCTGAACTGTAACTGATGCCAAAGGGCAGAATGGAGCCAAAAGGGCAGAAACCTTGCACTGTATTCACCTGCTGTATTTTGAAAAGTAGTGGATTGCTCCTTTTGCAAGAGAGAAAAGATGCTCACAACTGACTGAAAATGTTCTCTTCAGCCTCATGTAGCCCTTCAAAACCCTTCATCTGTCCTGATAATGTTTGAAAAGGAGCAGGAGGAATGCCTCATTCAAGTACCCTTTATGCYGTTTCACTAACTAGCCTCTAGTTAGCTCAGATTCCTGTTTGGGTTAGTGGAATTGTTCCTTGAGAAAGGACTGTAAGAATGAACCCAGCAATAGCAGTCCTTTGAGTCTAATGGTGTATACTGTGAAGTCTTGGAGGGTTTTTATTAGAGAGGAAGAGAATAAATTATTTTTAAAAGTGGCCCATCATATTGTTCTTTGATCCTGGAAATATATTTTTCTGAGGCATCATAAGAAAAATGGCTTCTACTCTCCTTGATCAATGGCTGTGAGTTGACATCCATATATATATATATTTATATCTATACGCATAAATATACATACAAAAATGTGCATTGCAATTTGTGAGGTTATTGAGAAGTCCATGTTCATAATCCTTTCAGTTTGGGGAATATGGGCCCTGGGCAACTTGCTTACTTGCAAGCATTACGCTGTTGTTATTGCAATTTTACTGAAAAGACAAGAATGTAAATGTTTCTMTTTGTTTTTCTGGTTTGGGAGGGGAGTTTGAATTTGGTGGTTCTTTTGTAATTATTGTATAGAAGTTTAATCTATGAATATGCTTGAATTTTTTTTTAATAAAAATGAAAAAAAAAAAAAGCACATGATTTAAGATTCATACCCTTGTTTTTACCGTGTTTTTACCTTTCAAACATAGAAGAGGGCAGAGAAACCAAGCTACAAAATAAAATTAATCTACTTCTCATTGTTATTGTGTTTTAGATTTCTATATAGTATTAAGTCTTATTTTTCCCATGCATTTTGAAGTTTGGAGGTTTTTTTTCTTTGCATACCTGTTCACTTTTTTTTTTCATTATATATGTATTTATATATWTAAAAGATGTTGACACTGTCATAGCCCTTTCACACAAATTTTRGAAGTAGCAATTGAAGTGTTGGCTAAATTGAATCCTTCTCCTTGCCCAATAGGTGCACCAATATATACATTTTTCTATTTCTATGATTTTCTGAAGGAGCCTATCAGTCAAAGCTAGGTCCCACCCCAAGCCTGGAGCAGGGCATTAGGGGAAACTGGGCAAGGACAATCAGGTTCAGTACTCATGGAATCATAAAACCTTAGAATATCTCAAATTGGAAGGGACCCACAAAGCTCATCAAGTCCAAATCCTGGCCCTGAACAACATCATCCCCAAAAGTGACACCATGTGCCTAGGAATGTTGTCCAAATGCGTCTTGAATTCTGTCAGGCTGGTGCTGTGACCGCTTCCCTGGGGAGCCTRTTCCAGTGMCCAACCACCCTCTGGGTGAAGAACCCTTTTCTAATATCCAACCTAAATCTCCCCTGACACAACTTTAGGCCATTCCCTCAGGTCTTATTCTTGGTCATCAGAGAGAAGAGATCAGTGCCTGCCCCTACACTGCCTCTCACAAGGAAGTGTAGACTGCAATGAGGTCTCCCTTGAGTSTCCTCTTCTCTAGGCAGAACAGACCAAGTGACTTCAGCCACTCCCCATGCAGCTTCCCTCTTCCCCATCTTTGCACATCTCCTTTGAATGTTCTCTAAGAACTTTAAGTTTCTCTTTTATTGTGGCACTCAGGAYATAAGGTAAGGTCATACCAGCACAGAGAAGAGCAGGACAATCACCTCCCTCAACAGGCTGGTGATGCTATGCTTTGATAAATGTTCCCTAGACTGATGGTGTTCCATTTTGGGTTCAGCATCTGTCTGGCTACATATATGCTGATACAAGAGAGAGACAGAGATCATTCTGAATTCAACTCAATACTTTTGTCACTTTTTCCAGTTCAAAGTGTTGAAAATAACATGAAATCTACATTCATACCAACCAGAGTATTGTTATTTTTCCTTTAAAGAGATGCTCAGGGTATATGCTACATACCAAAGGTGGAAAGGATAGAACAAATGTTTGGAAATTCAGTATTGGTAAGTGTGAAGTAATGCATACAGGGAAATCCAGTTAGAGCTTTGTGTATAAAATTATGTTGGTCATTAGTAACCAACTATGAATTATATGAATAATTAATAGTTATTATTAACTATGAATTATAATCCATAATTCCATTCATCCACTCAGCATTGTAGAAATCCATGGTTCACTCATACCACATTTACTTTGTGCACTTCTGGCCTACGTCAGGATCCTACAGACAGGATCAACAAGAACTGGAAAATATCAAGATAAAGGCATGATCTAAGTAATTAATTTAAAATCTTAGAATTTAAATAGTTTAGGACTGTTCATCTCACAAAAGAGACAATRYAAGATAGGTTGGAAAGAGACCTACCAAATCCTCAATGATATGTAAAAGCTGATTTGAATGAGTTACACTGCCTTTGCCCAAACAATAATCGGTGAATGCATATTAAGCTAATGTCATCTAGGCTCAAAACCAGATAAAGTTAGCATCTCTTCTTACACCACATTGCATAATTAGAAAACTCTTGGCTAAGAATGTTTTGGATGCACATAGTACACTGGTCCAGAGAGACTGGAAAAGAATGAAAAAGAAATCCACTTCAGGTTACTAAAAAGGCAAACCACCTGAGGCTCAGGAAAACCCCAAGGATTAAAACTCTTCAGAGGCTGGAGAAGTACTGCCGGTGTTTGAAGCAGGACACCATAAGCAAGACAACCCCTTGGCTCCACTCCTGGTCAGTCTCACACTCCCAATTAAAGCATGCCAGAATTACCTCAGATCATGGCTTCTTCTACCCTCCCTGCTGGGGTGCTGCCAGTGGGGATTCAGCAGGGAATTCAGCCTGCTACSATCATGAAAGAGGCTGTGCCACCGTCAGGGGAGCCTGGGCACAAGCTTGACCTCTGTCACTTAGCCCTTCTGACGAGTCACTGCGTCCAGCCCCCCTAACCATGCAATCTCTTACATTTGRGTAAAGATGAACTTGTGTCTTGCCCTTCAGCAAGTCCCTCCAGCTGTTTGTAGCAGTTAACCCATTTCACTTCAAAGCACATAATTATTAATTCAATTTCTGACACATTTTTTCACCTCTGATCTCATTTTTCACTTACCTGTCTCTCAAAGGTTGTTGCGGTTGGAGGTGACAAGCAGAAGACTTCCTCATCCACTAGGGGCAAGGCAATTCACTGTTGCTGGCTCTTTTTTCAACTCCTCAGGCAGCAGCCTGGTCTCCTCTTTAAAGCTCCCAGTTGTGTTAGTGAAGAGTGCAATTCTCTGGCATGAATTGTCACAAATAGGTTGGCAAATATACTCTAGTATACCTTTCCTGAAAAAAAAAAAAAAAGGTAACAAAATCTTTTACAATGACCCATCAAGTTCCTCTAAAAAGCTAATTTAAGGTGCTCTAAGCTGGCAAAGCCTGTTAAGATAATCAGTTTTACTGGCAAAATTTTTAGATGTATCTAATACCACAGCTCTTTTAAAAGCCCCAAATGAAAATTCTAATATAAAATGACCTCTACAAGAATTATTGAGATATAAGCTTTGGTTAGTGTACTTAATAATTAAATCCATCCTGGGGAAAAAAAAAAAACAAACCCCAAAAACTTTTTATAGGAATAAATGTCTTTTCTTCATTTATTCTGCAAGTAATAGTCTCAAAAGAAACTAGTGAGAGCAAAATTCCAGTCATACTATTAATTTTGATGTATTTGGATTTCTTTCATTCTAGATTAAGTTTTTGCAAGTAAGTGTTTTCTTCTTAAACCTGTAAAGTGTAATTATGGAGTGCATAATAGAATGCAGCTTAATGCTTAGTAGAAACATCCTTTTTAAAGCTTTCTTTTTTGTTTGACATAAAAACCCCAACCCTGCATAACTGAAATCTGGATGGCTACTGAACTCCTGGCCTTTCATTACTTACTTGCAAGTCTTCTAGTATTTTCCATTAAAGTCTAAACAGCTGGAATATGTTATTAAACAAGGGGACTCTCAAGCCCCTTTAATTATAAAACAAGAAGTTCAGAGCTTCCAGACAGAATAACTTTCTATCTTTTAGCATAAATAAATACCTCAACTCCCTTCTTGACTGTCTTAGCTCATGATGATGTCTTGCAGTCAGTCTTTACCTTCTGCAGAGGGACACTGATGGTTATCTTCCCCCCGTTTCTGCATCACTTTCCACATGGCCTGGCTGTGGCACGCTGCAATTTGCAGAAAGAAAAGTGCATTATGTCCTACTGGGAGCTACAAAGGCTAATTGTCCCTTGTAGATTTTATGTTCCACAATCTTAAGTGCTGTTGGTGGAGAAGTGTTTTGTTGTGGGCCTTAAATCTGAGAAATTGTAAAGGTTTTTCTCCTCTGCTGTGCATCTGAGCAGCYCTATCAAAGGAGAAAGGACAGCAGACTTAAAGGAGGTATAAACAGATTCAAGCTAGAGATGGGAGAGGGGTTAAAGAAGTAACTTCTGTGGCAGCTGGAACAAGAAATACTTTAAATGACTGCAGAGACACAGGAAATTAGTTTCTGCAATAGGCTATCTCAGTTAGAGAATGTCTGTAAATAGTTTCTTCATAAACAGCCAGTTTCATTTCAGAAACA